GCAAAACAGATTATCGCAACGCGAAATGGCTATCGCAACGAGAAAATCGCAATGCGAAATGAAAATCGCAACGAGAAAATCGCAATGCGATTTCATTTCGCATTGCGATTTTCTCGTTGCGATAGCCATTTTCGCGTTGCGATAGTCAAATGAATGTCTAATAAGTGATAACAACTGAACAGATCATAGCAATGTTCAAACTCAAGTTACTAATACATGCCTAACTGAAAATGTTAAAAGTGCACACATAAAATACACATAATGCAAGTTTTGTTAACATATATACTCCTTTTGGTTTGAAAATGTTTGGTTAAGTACCTAGAATTCAATAATTGTTAAAAGTTTATGCATGTTAATCCTTGTTGCCTTTTTCATTTCGCATTGCGATTCTATCGTTACGATTTGTATTTCGCATTGCGATGGTCAAATGATTGCCTTTCGCAACGCGATTCTAACTTTCGCAACGAGATAATACAGAATCGCAATGCGAGTTTCAAAGTTCGCAACAGGTTTTAGTTTCGCAAGCCAAATTTTTTGTGTATATATATACGCCAGCAGCAACACATAACCTAAATCCCTAAATCACAACTCATTCCATCTCCATCTATCACTCTCTCCGGCGACATCCGTTCCTATATCCAACGACATCCTTCCCCATCCGGCAACAGGTCTTAGTTTCGCATCTCGTTTGTTTAGTTACAACCATGAAATCATCTAATGTTGATCATGTTTGGATAGATTTGTGTTTTGGAGGGTCATGGGAGAATGTTCATGGTGTTTTACAACATATGCCTTTACCCATGAATCTTCAACTAAAACTGTCATTAAAGAAGTTAACTTATGAAACCCTAATGTTACGTGTTTCAAAGAAATTGAATTTAGAGCCCCTAGGTGGATTTAGGCTATCTTATCAGAGAAATGGTAAAGTTTATTTGTTAACCGACAATGAAGATGTTGAACGATTCATTGCTTACATTAATGTTTCAAGTGATGATGTTACATTGTATGTTGTTGAACCTAGAAGTAGTATTGTTGGGTCAGTAGCGGGTAGTAATCAACTAAGTGGGTCTCAAAACCCACAGCCTTTCTCTAATCCAAATCCAAATCAACTTTCAGCACCAAATTCCGGTTTTCGTATTGACCAATTAGACGATGATGAGCGAAGAGAAAAAATTGTGAGTACTAGTCAGTATTCGAAATTTGATCTTGGTCAATACCCGGACTTTGATATTGGTCAATACACGGATTTTGATGATGTTTCAGAAGAAGAAACAGACCCTGCGTGTAATGATTTTGATATTGGTCAATACCCGAATTTTGATGATGAAACACCCGTTGCCGAGGAAGATGTTGATGATAATGAGGAGAAAGTTACGACTGTGAATGAACATGTTGAACATCCATTCTGTAATTCATATAATCCTGAAGAAGAAAAAGAATAAGAAAAAGTCCCCGAAGAAAAGAAAATGCCACGGGAGTATAACTGGAATATGCCAGAATTACTTCAGTTACCGGAAGAAGAGTTGGCAAAGAAAGCAGTTGATTGTTACACAAAAGTTATTCGTATCAAGAAAGATGATTGTTTTGATACAAAGGAAGACTTGAAGATAGCTTTGTATACGAAATGTGTGGAAGATGGCTATCAACTAAAAGTTAACAAATCAAGCAAAGATCGTTTCGAAACAAGGTGTACGATTGACAAAAACTGTACGTGGCGTATGATTGCAAAGAGGATAAAAGATTGCGCAATGTTTCAAGTTAGGACTTTTATTGATAAACATACATGTTCAAGAACCCAAGTTTTTCCTCACCATAAACAGGCAAACAAAAAGGTGTTGGGTGGTTTTCTGGCTGAGTTAATATTTTTGAATGGCAGGGTATATCGGGGACATGAAATTATGACTGACATGAATGCTCGGTTCAAGATTAGTATATCATATTCTCAAGCTTGGAGAGCCAAATGTTATGCCTTGGAATTGTTGAGGGGGTCGCCAGAAGCATCGTTTGCCCAACTGCCGGCTTATTGTCACAATTTAAAGCTGAAAAATCCTGGGTCGGTAACTCATATCAAAACAGATAGAGATGGACGCTTTGAGTTGCTGTTTATCGCCATTGGTGCTGCGGTTAGTAAATCAATATAATTCTGTTGACTCATTTCTGTTAGTTACATGCATTTCACATTTAAATGATTATATTTCTTGTGTATATTATTTTGTAGATTCGTTCGTTTATTACTTGCATGCGCCCAGTTATTATAGTTGACGGAGCACATTTGAAAGGTCGATACCTTGGAGTAAACTTATTAGCAGTAGCCATGGATGCTAACAATGGGATATTGCCAATAGCTTACGGGGTTGGCAAATCTGAAACCTCTGATTCATGGACATGGTTTATGGGGCATCTTAGGGATTGCATATGTCCTATTAGCAATCTGACAATCATATCCGATAGGGCAAACTCAATTGACAACGCTGTTAGAAGGTGTTTCCCAGATGTTTTTCATGGACTTTGTGGTGTTCATTTGTATAGAAATCTAAAATCAAGGTCTGCTGGTATAAAAAAGCACAAATGGACATACTGGAAGGCTGTAAAGGCTTATCGGGAAGTGGATTTCAATAAGCATATAAACTATTTAAGACGTGTTTTGCCTCAGTGTGCTCAAACACTAGAAGATGTCGGGTTTGAAAGATGGTCAAGAGTACATCAACTTGGAGCAAGATATGGTTTCATGACGTCTAATAGTGCAGAATCAATTAACGCTCTAAGTCGTCATTCCCGGAAATTACCCATTACTATGTTAATGGAGTTTTTTCGAGCCTCTATTCAACAGTGGTACTACAAGAAAAGAAACCATGCAGGTATTATTTCTTTGAATTCGTAACTTATCATATATTTTACTAAGTATTATTTATTTAAATTTACAGGAACATTGGAACATCGTGTTACACCATGGACTGAAAAAAAGATAACGAAACGTGTTGTGAAGTCAACGTCATGGAGAGTTGAACCATGTTCAAACACTTTGTTTGAAGTACTGGATAATAACTTAAATGGGTTTGTCGATCTAATTGCAAAGACGTGTAGTTGTATGAAATGGCAAACATCTGGTTATCCGTGTGGCCATGTTATAAAAGTTGCTCTTCATCTAAACCAAGATGATTCAAGCGCATACGCTATGGATTGCTACACTACAGAAGTATATCGACAGACTTATGCCGAGATTGTCTACCCTATTTCACATACTTCTGAGTGGGACATACCAGATGACTTACAAACAGTTTTGCCACCAGCCATGGACAGAAGGCTACCTGGCCGACCAAAAAGTCACGATCGTATACCGTCTAAGGGTGAAGAGAAGAAGAGATCGACATGTAGTCGGTGCAAGGAAAGTGGTCATACAAGGTTGACATGTGGATCACCAGTGCCATCATAATCATCTTTTCCTCTACCAAAATATGGATCATCATCAAAATCCAAAGCTCATATGGTGTCAAGAAAAAGGCAATCAAAATCGCAATCATCTTTAAAATCCCAATCACAACTGGCTTAACCTTTTGGGACTGTTAACTTAGGTGATTTTTAAATGCAAACGTTGTATTATGTAGATTTTATGTGTGAACTTTTAACATTTTCAGTTAGGCATGTATTAGTAACTTGAGTTTGAAAATTGCTATGATCTGTTCCAGTTGTTATCACTTAATAGGCAATCATCTTAATGTCTATCGCAACGCGGAAATTACTATCGCAATGCGAAATGAAAATCGCAACGAGAGAATCGCAATGCGAAATGAAAATCGCAACGCTAATTTCGCAATGCGAAATGAAAATCGCAACGAGGGAATCGCAATGCGAAATGAAAATCGCAACGCGAATTTAATTTCGCGTTGCGATTTTCATTTTCGCGTTGCGATTCTCTCGTTGCGATTTTCATTTCGCATTGCGATAGTACTTTTTGCCTTCAACATAATGCAGATTGAAATCAACAAAATCAACCATTACATTTCAATCAATTAAACAAGCACAAATAAGAATTATGTTAACATCAATTAAACAAATCAACTTTTACAAATCACCTTTTACAAATCAATTAAACAATCAAAAATAAGCAATAATTATTAGAGAAAATAACACTTCTACTATTGAATCAACTTTTGCAGCCATACATCATTTTCACGCAGCTCACTTCTGAGATTAACCTACATAAACCAAACATTTGCTCAAACAACACTTTCTACACATCTAAAACCTACAAACAGCAAATTATTGAATTCTAGGTACTTAACCAAACATTTTCAAACCACAAGCCTATAAACATACCAATTGTTTATGGACATTTTTATAACGCGGATGCAGGTAGGCAGCGTCTCGTATATATCGATCTAGCCATATAATGTCGAAACCACAAGCCTACTGCAGCTCTATCTATACGGTGGGAGGTAGATACTTTATACTTCCTGTGATCAAACGGTCCAACGCCAAGCATACGAGAGGACCACAATCCCCTCTGGGTCCTTTCGTTTGTTGTGGTGCGGTCTCGTCTCTGCTAACTGTAATATTGAGCTTCTTTGGCTTCTTGTTTCCAGAACGAGTCCAATAATTTATCGCATCCAAGTATTTAGCCAAATAAGAGCTCCATCCCTTAATAATATCTCTTAAATCAGCCAATGATATGTAATTTATCATGTTGTCATATACTATTGCCTTAAGGGATGGGATCTGAAGCTCGACGAGAAGCCAATGGTTACGTTCCAAAACAGGGATAAACACCTGCAATCATAAGTAATAATTCATTCATTTGCGCACTTTTTATGAATACCTTTAAACTCAATCTAAAATAAACACTAACCTTATCGACCTCCCACCATGCAGGATAAAGTTTAGCTTGTCCATTGCCCAACGCAAATGATTCATCTCGTTGATTCTTCAAGTGAACGGCGTTAAAAGACGTCGGCATAATTGTATACCGTGTATTTCTTTTATTTTCCTTAAGTTTCCTAATTATTAGAAGACGTGACACCCACGCATCGATATTCTGTTTTACAAAAAAAGACATATATTAGTAACTTACATAAATTTACAAAAAAAAATAATCAAATGAAAATATAAGAAAAATATAAGACATACCCCTCCATCGAAATAGCCATTGTCTTCGACCCCTAATAATACGCCCCACCAAGACCGATCAAGCAACAAATAGATATCATCATTGAGCTTGCATATGTCAGTGAAACACCCCTGGCTTCGCTCATGTAGATAAAAATCAACTGCGGTCTTAGCCCAAAGGGTGTTATCCAGAATTGTGTCCGGTAGTTGTTTCCTCTCCTCTTCAGATACCGGTATGGTACTGGCCGGTAACTCATACGAGAGCCAACTTGAATCCATCATGTCTGGCACGTCAGAGGGTTTCTCAAGAATCCTACATATAACAACCATGTGAATCGGGCTCTTGAATGGTGGGAGGGACCTCTTCAACAATGACAGTGGCCTCTTGAACGGTGGGAGGGGACTCTCGAGGAATGATAGGGGCCTCTTCAACGATAGGAGTGGACTCTTGAGGGATGATAGGCGAGTCGGGCTTCTTCTTGTGGTGTCTTCGCACTATTGGGGTATACGGAGACTTAATAGCACGTGCACGCCGTCTGATGCGTGAACTCTGTCGTGCAAGAAAAACCCGACGTAAAGCATCCACCTTATCGGTCCGCTAAATAAAAATACAAATATCAGTAAATAAACAGACATGATATTTAAACAGTGAAAACAAAGATAAATATATTTCAAACTTTCAACCAAAAGACAAAACAAAGACAAATACTAACTTCACAGTGTTAAAGTAAAAAGTTTAGCAGTTTTGGCAGCAACCGAATAAATTTACTAAGCAATCTAAGTGAAATGGTTAATTTAAGTGAAATTACGAGTAAATTTATCATCAAGTTAAATATGGAAAATCTTAAACTTACCTCGTTGTGTAGAGTATGAACCTCATTCTGCAACGATACTACCATCTCACGTAGAGCGGCAACCTCACCACGTAAAGTAGACACCTCCACACGCCATGCACCATCGTTATCAAGTAGAGTACCGATCTCCTCACGCAAGGCATTGACCTCATCACGTAACTCCCTTGACTCATCCCGTGGAGGTGGAGAATAGGGAGATAGAAGTCGTGGCATCTTTTCCGGTCGCCTATCATGAGGTGATGGTGGAGAAGAGGCTCGATGATGTGACGAGATAGGTGATGGCTCTCGTTGTAGAGGTGTATAGTCGGGTCGATCAGGTGATGGCTCTAGGTGAGGTGATGGCTCTCGAAGTGGAGGAAGTGGAGGCTGCTCATCATTCGTGCCATCAAGAAAACGCTGACTAGCTTGCCACCAATCAGTGGCAAGCTCAGCCTCCGTGGGTGTCAGTCTCATTAATGGAATGTTGGCCTCCTAAAAATATAAAAACTCAAACAAAGTTAAACGTCTAATATTAATAACTTGTTTATATATGATAGTATTTGTGTTAACTTACATTATTTATTGTCGCATATGGTATTAAGTCTTCTCAATCCAACAGACGTTTCCTCTTCCAGGAAATAGCCCTAGGAATATCATTTGAAGTTTTTATTGCATATGTCTTCATGGCGGGAAAGGCCTCGAATATCGAAATCTACAAACAATATAATAACAAACATTAGTAATTGTTAAATAATTAATTATAATTTTGAAAACATTATATAGAAATTCTTACCTTAAAGGCCCAAACAAAGCCTGACAAAGTGTATTTCGACCCATCGCCCCGCAAACTTTTGCGGTCATCAAAGGCAGACGACAACTTAGTCCAGGTAGCTTTCCATATATACGAACCCCACGGAAACAAATTCCATGCATTTAGGTCCTCTACCAATAATATTAGCTCCTGAGGAATAGGTTGTCTGGCCTCTTTACCTAAAAAGCCGGCATACAAAAGTAGTAGAAGGCATACTCGGACAACATCGACGTCATTCATCCGAGTAAAACCATCTTTCTTATTAAACAATTTCTTCATGTCGTCGACGTGTAAGTTCGGCTTCTCTATTGACTCATCAGGAAAAACCCTGGATAACCATGATGGGCGGGTGATATGACGAGTGTACCGGCCTACATCATCGTGTCCGAATCGTAGACCAGTGATTAAGCAGAACTCCTTCCGCCCAAAACAAGTATACGCCGGTGGAAAATGAAACCATATCTCTTCCTCACCACGTTGTATACTGTCGGGTAGATCGCTAGTCATGGTCTGAAGCCACAAATGGGTCAAACTAGCATCTCCACCCGGATACTGTACTCTCAGCCATGGCCCGAAGCAGGTTTCTTCAAACAATTTTCTTTGTGCAGGTGAAAGCTTCGAAGCAATTGTAGTGGCTAGGCTAACTTTATTCCTTAATGTCAATGAAGCCGAAAAAAATTTCTACAAAAAAACAATAAACATACCAAGTTAGATATACCAAAAATTACACTGTCAAGATATACCAAAAACAAAACAATAAACATAAATAGTAGTTTATTCTTGAAACTAAAATTTGCAACACTGTTTTTGTCTTTTGGTTGAAATGAAAATCGCAACGAGATAATGAGAATCGCAACGCGGAAATGACTATTGCAACGAGAGAATCGTAACGCGAAATGACTATCACGACCAGACAATCGCAACGCGAAATGAAAATCGCAACCGCGAAATAAAAATCGCAACGCGAAATAAAATTCGCAATGCGATTTTTGTTTCGCGTTGCGTTTTTTATTTCGCGTTGCGATAGTTATTTCCGCGTTGCGATTTTCATTCTCGAAACTATTCTTCTTCTGCATTACTTCAACCAAAAGACAAAGCAAAGACAAATACTAACTTCACAGGCTAAACAGTTTAGCAGTATTGGCAGCAATCGAATGAATTTAATAAGAAATCTAAGTGAAATGGTTAATCTATTATTGAAATTACCAGTAAACTTATCATCAATCTCAATATGAAAAACCTAAAATAATGCAAAAATTTCAAAATAAAAAAATAAAAAAACTAACCCTCGGAGGTTGATTTTCCATTTCTGAATGATTGTGAGGGATTTTTGACTGTGAATGGTTGTGAGGGATTTCGTCGGCGATGGGGACGGAAATCTTCGGAGATGGGGACGGATTTCGCCGTAGAGAGTGAGAGATGGAGATGGGACTGAGTGTTTTGTTTTTGGGTTTGAGGTTATGAGTTGCGATTACTGTGGACGGTTCAGTTTCCGATTTATTAAGAAAAAATTCGTGTTTGGAATTTGAAAAAAAAAAATACGCGTTAATACGAATGGCGCTATGTAAATCGCGTTGCGAAAGTCAGAATCGCGTTGCGAAAGTCAGTATCTCGTTGCGATTTTGTATTATCGCATTGCGATAGTCAGTATCGCATTGCGATAGTCAGTATCGCATTGCGATTTTCCCAATTCGCGTTGCGATTTACTTATTCGCATTGCGAATTGGGAAAATCGCAACGACATTGTATACCATCGCAACGCGAAATGCAACGTGAATTTGCGATAATGGAGATCGCGTTGCGAATTAGCGATCGCATTGCGATTTTGTTGGTCATTTTGGCAAATCCGGAAAAAAGTTGGTTAAAATCGTATATTATATGAGATTTTTGGTCACCGAGGTTATTTTCTCTATTTTTTATTATATTTTTTTTATTTTTATAATTAAATTCTTTTATTTTCTTCAAATTTATTTTTATATTTAAAATTGAGTCCTCAAATTTGTGTATTCACACTTTTTATCTTTATAATTAGAACCATTATTTTTTTTAATCCTAATTATTTATATTTATAATTGATGACCTTAATTTTTTTTTCAATCTCACTTTTTACCTTTAAAATTAAGATCCCTATTTTTTAATTCACCTTTTACTTTTAAAATTGAGACCCCTAATTTTTTTAATCATATTTTTTACTTTTATAATTTAATCCCTTAATTTAATTATTTTTCTATGATTTATTAATGTAATTTTAAATTAATTGTTTAAAGTAATATAATCTATTTTCATTTTATAAGAGTCTATTTTCTAGTTTCGCTCGGGCCCCGAAAATATAGGAGACGACTCTGCATTAAATGATTGTAGTACCTCTTTAAATAATTTCCAAAATCAGATTACTAAAATGCCTAGTAATGTATGATCAACTCATGAAGCAAAGTAGGTTTTGCATTAGTTGCTCTCCACCAAGGAATATAGCCCGTCAGTGTTTCTCTCATCGGATATCGCATTACATTGCTTGACATCTAAAATACACAATTCATGTAGGGTGACGATATACGGTGGCTGCCGGATCGATATCCTTGACGCCGACCACCTGTATCATGGCGCAATTTAAGTAATAATATCCGACTTTGGGCACCAGCTTTGCTTTTGCTGCTGGTTTTGTCTACACATCTTCCTTGACGCTAAATTCACAATTTCACTCACCTCCTTTAATGCCCCCAGTCAGTTGCCTTCAATGCACCCCCAACTTCCTCCTTTATTCCAACCTCCACTCCATTAACTATCCCCCATTTAACCTCTCCATAATTCACTCTTTTTTAAACTCTTTTCAACAAGTCTTTCAATACCTCAATAATCCTTCTCCTCAAGTTTTCTTTCTTTGTTTTGAAACCAAGGGAGAAAGAGAGAGGGGTTAACATTGATGGAGTTGGGAGAAATTTGAAGGTGCTAGAGAGTTCAAGGAGAATTAGATACTGCGATGGATTGTTAAGGTTTATGGGGTTAATCCTTACGTTGGTAGCAGCAATTTTGACGGGCCTGGACAAGGAAACAAAGATTATTCCTATAAGTATCACAAAGACCTTGCCCAATTTGCATGGCCTCGTGACTGCTAAGTGGCACTACATGTCTTCCTTTGTGTGAGTTTTCTTAGTTTCAGTTCCATTGGTCAAGAGTATGCATGTATATATGTCTTGCTTACGTAGATACTCACCTGAATATCTTTTTGTTAGGTATTTCCTCATATCAAACGCGATAGCGTTTTCATATGCAGCAGCATATCTGGTAGCATCAATGGCGGTTCGGACATCGAAAGACAAGACAGGAATAGTTCTGGTGGTTCTAGACATGACCATAATGGGGTTGCTCTTGTCTGCTAACGGGGCAGAAATTGCTGTTGGGGTGTTAGGCCAATATGGAAACTCGCATGTGCAGTGGAGGAGGGTATGCAATATGTTCGGCGGGTTCTGTCACCAAATGACCGTTGTTATAATCTTATCTTTGGTTGCATCATTGATTTTCTTTTGGCTGGCAGCTGTGGCCATTCTCAACCTTCACAAGAAATCAAGGTAGATGATGGGAATGAAGAAGGTGGATGGGGAACCGTTGGTGGCATTAATGTCTACTATCTATTTGTAGCTTTAGCTTTAGCAGGAAAAAAAAATTTGGATCAGAGTAGTACATGCATAATTTAATTAGCTTTTGGATGGTGTTAAATTTGAAGCTCGCCCGGTTGGTGTGTATCTAATTTGTCTTTACAGCGAACAATGAATATTCTAGTTGCAAATCTAGAATTAAGGTTTGGTTATATCAACATAGGAACAATGTGCCTGGTAGTCCTATGGTTAAAGGCAGCCAAAATACAGATGAACGCCATTTTCAAAAGCAAAATCAGACAGATAAAAAAACTAGAGGTATAGTTGTGAAAAACTATATCTTTTTTCCAGTAACAAGTTGAATCCTATAAGGAGCATGTTTGTGGATTAAAGAATAATGCACCCGCATCGATTCAGCTTCTGCATGTCCTCTTTGCTCTTTACTGCAGTTCATCAAAAGACAACAACAGTGATGAAAACAAAGAAATGTTGTGCTTTCAAGAAAGAGAAGTCGACGAACCTGTCCTGCGTTTTGATTTAGAAGGCTGCAGTAGCACGTGCATGGTGATAACATCATCAGGGAGGTCACCGATTGTTATGGTGCAATCAGCCAGGGTTTGGTTGTTTTCCAGAACTTTACCAGCATGTATGAGTTTCAAATCGTTTATTGATTTTGGTGTGATTGTATTGCCTGAAAATATTCCATTACCAACTCGATCTTTTTATTTTCATATAAAATTGATGAACACTCGAAAATTTTATATTAATGATCAGAGAGTTTAAAACTTTTAAAAGGGGCGATCGTCCCTTCAGCTCCCCTCGATACATCTCTTATATTTAATATAATTACATAAATCAAGTAGGAGCAAGTTAAGAGGAGAAAACAAGTAAAGAGAAAGAATATAACCTTGGGGCCACTCAGCAACAATCTTTTGCTTGAGAGTTGAAACAGTCATAGACGACTTGTAAGTACCGTGTGCTATATCTTTCCCGTCATACAAGCGGAATCTAAGCTCAATAAACTCCTCGCCCTCAGCCATACTACAACTTATTGCTCTCCGTTCCCTAGCTTGCAGTACGTGGAAGTGGAATGTCATTCAAAATTATAGTTTTGCTGGAACTAATGGAACAATATAATTATTAGTAAATTTCAGAAATACTCTACATATCATCATTGGTGGATTCAGAAATATTATTGGTAGTAGACACAAATAAATAATAACACAAAATTTTTAAATAAGGTGGACATAAATAAAATTTCAGGGTAGACAATATCAATAAAATAAATAATTAACTGAAAAAAATTCGAATTTTAAGGTGGACACATGTACTTCCTCATAAAGTTGTGGATCCGCCGCTAGATATCATGCATTTCAAATATAAGAAGAGGAACATTTAGAATTATACGTACATACTTGTTGAATTAGAACACAGAAAATGAACAAACTCAGATTTCATTCTCTGCAGATTGTTTCACATACTGACGGTGAAGAAACACATACACCAATTCAGATTGTATTATATTAAACAAACCTCATTTAATATTCTCTGAGAAACTTGACTATAATTAATGCATGAAAATCAACTTCCAGAATCTTGCCAACAGAGTGAAACTTCATGACCTGATAACCGATAAGCTTCCTCGTGAACATAGCTAACTAGCTCTCAACCAATGTTCCTTTGTCAAAATCCAGAAACTGAACCTCAAGAACTAGACATATATGGTAATAATAACATCTTAATATTATGTTAGATTCAGATTCCAGAACAAAAGTAACATTAAAAAACAACATTTCCATGAAATACCTAATTAAATAACACGAAAAAGAATATGAAAACAAGTGGAATTTTATCAAACCTAATCCAGATTAATTTAAGATTTCTTATTTTACGTCAATCTTTTCCTTTTTTTTATATATAAATTCATATGATGAACACAAAAATCATCGTCTCTCTGATTATTTTTCCTTCATTTTTTTCTTACTAACTATATGAAACATTAGAGATTAGGAAAATAAAAGAAAATGATAAAATATAGGGAAAATAAAAGAAAAATACAAAACTACCTGATCAGAAAGCCATTGATGGAAAAATCAGTGAGGAAATTGAATCAAGAAATAATAAAGAAAAAAAAATTTTTTTTTCCAGTGCCATGTCGTTGTTCGATATTAGAAAAAAAAATGAAAATAAATGTCGACCTTTCAGTTCATTGTTTGATAGTTAAAAACAATTTTGTTTTCCCGAAATTCTGTGATAAGTTGCCAAAATCAAAATAGATAGAGACAGGGAGCGAAGCTCCTGAAAGTTTCCCACTCTCAGCTTCCCACGTGAAATCAAATGATATGGTGGAATGACTAAAGCACCCCTAAACCTACACGTGGCGTTTTACGGGTGATTTTTCGTATAATTAAAGTAATTAGAAACTAATAGAGACAAAGGAGGAGGTTGTTGCTTTGAACAAAATGGGATTAAGAGGTCGTTGCTGATAATTACTACTTTGCTCCTAATATGATATTATTTCATTAAAAAATAAATTTTATAAAATAATTTATAAAAATATTTTTTTTAGAAAACTGAATATTTTATGATGTTTGGATGGTTGTAAAATATTTTCTTTACTTAATATTCTTTTAAAAATATTTTCAAAAGTTGCTTTCAGTGAAATAAATACACATTAATAAATATTTTAATTTAATTAATTTTATTATTATAAAATTATATTTAGAAAAGTTTTTGAACATGTATTATAATATTTGAATTTTATAAATGTATCAAATTAAAATTTAATGTCATTTAAGTTGATTGTGTCAAGGACAAAATCATGATACCGATTCAAGGAGATAAAATATAACTAATCAAAGAAAATTAAATATAATTAATCATAAAAATAAAAAAAGAATATCAAAATAAACTAAAACTAAGAATTCTAATATAATATTTACTCATATAAATTTTTAATAATAAAAAAATAGAAGGAACACTGACCAGAGATGAAGCTCTTGATTGTGTCATAAATACATAGTTATTTTTATTGATTATAACCGTGATGTTTTTTCATTGATATTTTTAACATCATCTTATGGATTTATTATAAAATAAGTGCTCATTTTCTAATTTATTTAATTTTTGGATAATTCTTTTTTATTATCCGAGAAAAGTAGAAAGTTTGCTACATAAACCACCAACTTAATAATAATTAACCATTATTACAGCAGAAAATGAACAACAGAAAATACCAACTTAGGAAATACCCCACTTTTCACAGAGATAAACGTTCATAGGATCAACCATGCTGATATTCCATCTTCTAAGCCGAATTTGCACTGTCTCCTTGATGTCTTGCAACATATCATCCACCAACTGAGCCTTACCCTCAAAATGCTTGCAGTTCCTCTCTTTCTAAACTCCATACACATGACTAACCCAAGCAAGCTTAAGTACCATTACAAGGAGAGATTTCCCCTTAAAGCAGCAGAGAGCCCAAGCCAACTCCTTGTCCCAGCAACTAACCCTGCGAGAAATACAACACCAAGCTAGCACAACACCCCACAACTCCCTCGCAAAGCCACAAACAAAGAACAAGTGATCTCTAATCTCAGCCTCAACACCACATATCACACACATATCATTTTCGATGCTCAATCCCATCCTCAAGAGCCTCACCCTGGTAAGGAGCCTATTTAATATGGCCATCCAAACAATAATATTGTGCTTGGGAAATCGACATGAAAGCCAAACAAGACTGTGCCAAGGGACCTTAGAGAGCTTAACCCTTAAATCCTCCCAAATCCAACTAGCTTTAAGAGTATTATTATCCAAACCAGTAAACATATGGGAAACTGTAGGCCTTAACTTTAAAATTCTCCTAAAGCTCCGCCTTGCATTGACGGGAAGATCTATCTGCCAAAAGTTTGCATTCTTGATTACATACGCACGAATCTACCCCACGCAAATGGATCCCTCTCCAGCCAAAATGCTTTTAATCAGTTGCACAATACAAGCTCCATTCTAGCCACTAATATATTTCACTCCCAGCCCCCTTCAGATCTCAAAAGGTAGACCTGTCTCCAGCTGAATCGAGCACCACTAGCAGGCATATCGGAACCTTTCTAGAAAAATGAGAGCACAACTGCTCAATCTTTCTAATAGTCGATTGAGAAAATTTAGTTGCTTACACCAGTAATTGGTTATGCTAAACAACACATCTTGAATAAGTTGTAACCTTCCAGCGAAACAAAGATGACAGTTATCCCAAAGGCTCAACTTTCACTTAATCTTTTCAATGAGACTAAGACAATCATTCTCATAGAGCTTTCTAGTAACCAATGGAACACCTAAATACCTCATAGGGAGCTTACCCAATTAAAAACTAATAAACGCCCTTATAACATCGCTTTGATCAGCAGAGACGCCAGCCATAAAAAAATCACACTTACTAGCATTTAATCGCAAGCCAGACATAGAATGAAATTTATCTACCATACACTGCACCCCAATAATAGAATCAATAGTACCCTTGCAAAAGATGAGCATATAATCTGCAAAATATAAATGGGTGAGACCAATCTTTTTACATTTATGATGGAACTTAAAAATCCCTTTAGCATCAACTACATTGAGCATACAAGACAAGATGTTCATAGCAAAGACAAAAATATAAGGCGAGAGTGGATCCACGTGTACCCTTAAAATAACCAACAAGACTACCATTAAACACCATAGAATATCTAGGATTTGTAAAACTTGCCTAAATCCATCTAATGAATTTCTCAGGCAAACCCAATACACGCAAAATGGCTCATACAAACTTCCAATTTAGAGATTCAAAAGCCTTCTGGAGATCAATTTTCAAAGCACATCTCGAGAAAATATTTTTCCTAGCATATCCCCTGACAATCTCTTGAGAAGGCAGTGTATTATCCATTATTCTACACCCCTTCACAAAAGCAATCTGATTCAAAGTAATCATCCTATGGAAAACAACAAACAATAACAGTCTTGTATATCACCAAATAAGAAGAGATAGGCAAAAAATCCTTAACCATACCCGGGTTAGGGAAGAATAGAAGAATCATCAAAGCAATACCTGATAGCAGCCTTAAAATCATCTCCCACTATAGACCAATCCATTTTGAGGAAAGAAGAATTGTACCTATTTGGCCCAAGAGACTTATCATTCCCTGTCCCCAAATGGCCTCCTTAATCTCAACATCAGAAATATCCCTACATAAAGAGTCAACAGATCCCAGAGGCAAGGAGTAATGAATGGGTTCTTTTAACAAACTAACATCACAACCCTTCACACATTGATCAACCAAGCTCAACTGATTCTTGAAGAAATCCACTACCTCATTAGACATGCTATCGAAATAATCTAGCCTAGTTTCATTCTTATCATAAAGAACTCGAATGATGCTACTTTTATTTTTACTAATCACCATATAATGAAAAAATTGTGTCCCTTGGTCTCTATCTCTTAGCCAATTCACCTTAGCCTTTTGTTTATAAAAAAGTAACTCAACATCCTCCAAAATTTTCAGTTAAGAGAAGAAATCTGAGGAGATTTTGAAGAGTATGTTTTCTGATTGGGATTTCTGCTGCAATTACAGTCATGCTGTTAATGGTCGAATTTGGGTTATTTGGCAAAAGAGTTTGAACTTTTATGCTTGTTTTGTGTATGATCAAAGTATTTTCATTAAGGGTTCTTTTGGTGGTAAGGATGTTTGGATCACTGTGGTGTGTGGCTCAAATGAAGGTTGTGCTCGTAAGCAAATTTGGAATCAGTCGCGTTCTTTGGAAACTGTTGTGGTTCTCTACATTGGTTGATAGGGGTGACTTCAATGCCATCTTAGCTTTTGCTAAGAACTCGTATCTTGTTTGTGCTAGTGTGAGTGCTAATATTCATGATTTTCAAGACTGTATGGAGGATTTAAGCCTTTTTGATCATCCGTTTACGGGTCCTTTTTTCACTTGGTCAAATAAGCACCAGGAGACTTATTTGGCTCAAAAACTTGACCATGTCCTTGTGAATTCTACATGGCTTGGAGTGTTTGATTCAGTTGTGGAATTACAAGCTCCATGTGATTCATATCATTGTCATGCATTAGTTTGGCTACACAAAGATGCCCTTGTGACCAGACCTAAACCGTTTAAGTTCTTCAACTTTTGGGTGCTTCATCCGAATTTCTAAACCATTGTTAAAGAGTCTTGGCAGATTCTAGTGTTGGGTAATTTGGCTCAGGTTTTGTTTCAAAAGCTTTAACAGTTGAAAATCAGTCTCAAGGAGCTTAATAGGACTCAACTTAGTGATATCTCATGTTAGGTTAAGCATAATAGGGAGGAGTTAGCTAGAATTCAGTTGGCTAACTTGGATTCTGATTTAGCTGGCAATAATATTGATGTTGAATTACAGGTACGTTTTCTAATTTTAACCTATATATTTTAGATATTTTTTATTAATAATTTATTTTTGGTTAAACTACTCCAATGATCACTAATGTTTGGGTAAGTTTTCGTTTTCACTACTGACGTTTCAAAAGTTACAAATCGGTTACTAATATTATCGTTTGTTACAAATTGGTCACTCGCTGTTAACAGGCGTGACAAAAAACACACGTAGCCTATTAACTATTGTTAACATGCTTACCTGGATGGTATAGTTACACAAATAGTCCATGTTATTTATATATTATTTAAATTTGATCCTAGTTTTAATAAATTAATATATATATATATATATTTAATTCTTATAAATAATGATATATTTTTAAAAAAAGGAAACCAAAAATTTAAAATTAGTTATAAAAACAAAAAAAATTAATGTTTTTTAATGTTAGGGTAAACTAATAAAAACAAAAAATTAACGTTTTTTTTAATAAAATTAACATTTTCACTCCTTTTTTGAATAAGAGATTTGAGATACTAAAATCTAATAGGGTCATAGATTTAATATATAAAAACTTATTAAAAAGTTTAATTTGATATGTACATTGATTTGAACTTGGATTAATTAATTTAAAAAATACTTATTTAAACCTTTTTTTATTATTTTAGAGAACATTTATTGAAAACAAAGAAAAAAACTTTTATTGTTTTATAATTTAATGTATTTTCATTTGCAATTTCTAAAAATCATGTCCATAACTAAACATGTTTTTCCTGATATTTTTATTTTTTAAGAAAAACAAAAAGGAAATGATATTTGTTTTCCAAACCAAACAAAACCGTAATAATTTATAAGTCATGCATTTGTGTGCAGCTCATAATTGTTGAAGTCTTTCTCATCATGAGACTTTTAATACGCTGAAATTCATTCGGTCTACATTGGCCTCCTTGGGACCGATAATTAATGCGAAAATTTTCATACATTTATAATTCTTGGTCTATAGAATTTTCTAAATAATTATGAGATAATATATGTTTAAATATAAATTTTAAATATTTTACATTAAATGTTCATACATTATTGTATTATTGATGTTCGAACTCGAACTTTAAAGAATAATTTCTTTAACACCGAGATATTTTGGGTTGCGTATATGAAAAATATTGATTAATTATGTACAATATGTTTAATTTAAGGAAACATGTATTCGAGACGGTCAAATATCTGATCATTATTTTACATGAAAATACAAAGTAAATTCTTTATTACTAATTACTATATATATTCGAGAAATAGTTGTCTTTGGACCCTCAAAGAAACAGACTAACAAATCATACCACTGTTTTATACATACATTAAGAGCAATGAAATATTCTCCTGAATTTTCACTCCAATGCCTTCAATTCATGGTTATGGTTCTTTCGATTTCGTTCACCTGCACCGCAGCCGGCCGACTAGACATTCCGAGGCTTAGTCCGACAAGAGGAACACTCATAGAAAATCTCGAACTTCAATCATCTGCAGCAGTTTCAGATGATCTCCAAACCTTTTATTAACCTCAAACACTTGATCACTTCAACTACCAGCCTCAAAGCTACGCCACTTTTCAGCAAAGATGCGTGATGAATTTCAAGCATTGGGGTGGAGCAAACGACAGTGCCCCGATTTTAGCCTATCTCAGAGCAGAAGCGCCACTCGACAGTGATCTTACCGTAATCGGTTTCCTCAATGATAATGCCATCCGCACCGATATTATGGAAAATCTCACAAAAATAGTAATATATTTTCATTCAGCACCGATATTATAGAAAATCGATACCCTTTGGATCAAGAGAAGAAGCCTTTAAAAATGCAAGCACTCTGGGGTATTTCAACTGTGCACAAGCTATAGCAGACTATGTGGAAATCATCATGCACATCAAGAAGAAACTCAATGCTTTCTATTCTCCGGTGATCGTCATCGGAGGATCATATAGAGGAAGTAAGTTAGAATAATTAGATTGTATAATACGTTAACTAACACTAACTAAACATTTTTCTTTCTTTAATTCAAATGAAACCAGCGCTTGCTTCATGGCTTCGACGTAGTGCTAAAATTTAATTTAAAAAATTAATTTTAAAAGATTTTATGCACCGAGTGAAAAAAAATTCTTCACAAACAATATTTTAATATTAGTATTTATTTAAAAAAATAAAAAAAAAGTTTGGGGAAGAAAAAATGTTAATTTTATTTTAAAAAACGTTATTTTTTTGTTTTTATTAGTTTACCCTAACATTAAAAAAACGTTAATTTTTTTTATTTTTATAACTAATTTTAAATTTTTGATTTCCTTTTTTTAAAAATATATCATTATTTATCAGAATTAAAAATAAATAAATTTCAATTTATTAAAACTAGGATCAAATTGAAAGAATATATAAATAACATAGACTATTTGTGTAATTATACCATCAAGGTAAGCAGTTAACAGGCCACGTGTGTTTTCCGTCACGCCTGTTAACGGTGAGTGACCAATTTGTAACAAACGATAACGTTACTGACCGATTTGTAATTTTTGAAACATCAGTGGTGGAAACTAAAACTTACCAAAACATTAATTACCATTGGGGTAGTTTACCATTTATTTTTATGTCTAAAATTTTATAAGTTCATCCTAAAATAAAAATTATATAATTCGAATACTTATTTTATAATATAAAATATATTTTAACATGTGCCATTCTTAGAGTATAATTGATATTATAACTAGATTCTCGTAATATTTATTAAAAAGTAATATATGATTCTTCACATTTGAAAGGAATAAACATTGAACATTAATTTGACATAAAAAATTATTTAATTTTAACTTGTCCATAGTATCAAATGACCATCCTTGAAAAGATATCAATAAATATATGCTTGAAAGAACTCCATTTGTGCATTCTTTGGTAATGGAGAATAAATGCCGATATTCAAGATGGTTTTCATAAATTATGAACTTTATTTTAAATTAATCTCTAAATTTTTAAAAGATTTAATTTCATCTATTATAACTATTGTTTTAAATTGGTATTTAATTTTTTAAACATTCTAATTTCATTTTCAAACCATGACCCTCATTCTAAACTGGTCCCAAAATTTTTGAACATTCTAACCTTATCCCCAAACCTTTAAACATTCTAATTTTATCATAAACTACCTATATATACTAATAACGTCATGTATATCTTCCAACTCTTAAAAATGTTAGAAATCAAACTCAACTTTGCAACCATATGTCGGCAAGAAGAATGTAGAAGCATATGAATTACTTAGCAACAAAAAACTTTGAAAAGTCCAGGGGCGGACCCAGGACAAAAATTCAGGGGTTGCACAAAAAAATTCTTATAAATTTTTTTAGGGGTTGCACAATATTAAAGGTGACACTTGTATTAATTAAAAAAATAGAAAAAATTAACACTAAGTAGACAATTTTGTTGTATACATTTTTTTTCTATAAGAATTTAACTGAAATATAGGGATTCTACCTAAAAATCACAAAATATATATATAAAAATACTAAAATAATAACATTTGATCAATGTTCCTCACAATTTGAGGGGTTGCCCGTGCTACCCCTGGCAACCCCTGGGTCCGCCCCTGGAAAAGTCAAAGGCGGTAAAATGGTGACAACTAGCAATATGGAAACATGGCAGCAACAACACTTTGAAATACTTAATTATTGAGAAAAGGTTAAGGTGGCAAAAACTAGAAGATTCTTGATTAATGAAGCATGATCTTGGATTACTTAAGAACTAAGCATGGAAAACAAACATGTGACAATTGATGATGGAAGGGAATTTATTAAGACAAGGAACTCCATGTGGCAATACAACAAGAATTTGGAAATGCCTAGATCTTTCATTAAGGAGGTTTAATTACCCTTATAAATATATAATGTATGTGAGTGATATGAACACAAGTGAGAAAAATGAAGGCTTAGAAAAGCTAGAATGAAAAATAGCTTAGCAAAGCTATTAAAGAGAGAGGATGAAGCTTAGCAAAGCTTATGATTATGATTAAAAGCTTAGAAAAGTTAGAGATAATTGAGTAAAGCTTAGCAAAGCTTAAAATAACGAGGTTGTGTTAGTAAACAAACCACAACTAGTGTTGAGTGTCGTAGTATTGTAATATTGAGGTAGTGTCGTTGTAACGTATTTTGTTTCATATGAATAGTAATTTCAAGCTGTAAAATTATTGAGTGCCCACCTACGCTTCCATCAAGTGGTATCAGAGCTTGCTTCGAGTTTAACGTGGTGGAGAAGATGACCAACATGATTCATCCTCAAATCCCGAAATTGACAAAGACGAATTATGGCAATTGGAGCATTCAAATGAAGGCGTTACTAGGCTCCCAAGATTGTTGGGATATCATCGAGGATGGTTGCACCGAGCCTGAAAATACAACAGCATAAGCAGTCCTGACCAATGAAGATAAGAAAGTATTGAAGGAATCTTGGAAAAAAAGATAAAAGAGTGTTGTTCTCTATTTTTCAAGGAGTAGATGAATATACCTTTAAAAAAATTTCTGATGCGAAGACCGCAAAACAAGCGTGAGAGATTTTGCAAAAATCTCTACAAGCTGCAGAAAAAGTAAAGAAGAATACATAGCCGCAACAGCGTGCACTTGCCAAGAAATAAGAATCGATTGGAGATGACAAGTGGAGAAAACTTGTAATGGAAAGTCGAGTTTGAGGGGGGGGTGTTAGAAATCAAACTTAAATTTGCAACCATATGTCGGCAAGAAGAATGTAGAAGCATATGAATTACATAGCAACAAAAAACTTTGAAAAATCAAAGGCGGTAGAATGGTGACAACTAGCAATATGGAAACATGGCAGCAACAACACTTTGAAATACTTAATTATTAAGCAAAGGTTAAGGTGGCAAAAGCTAGAAGATTCTTGATTAATGAAGCATGATCTTGAATTACTTAAGAACTAAGCATGGAAAATAAACATGTAACAATTGATGATGGAAGGGAATTTCATTAAGGCAAGGAACTCCATGTGGCAATACAACAAGAATTTGGAAATACCTAGATCTTTCATTAAGGAGGTTTAATTACCCTTATAAATATATACAATGTATGTGAGTGATATGAACACAAGTGAGAAAAATGAAGGCTTAGAAAAGCTAGAATGAAAAATAGCTTAGAAAAACTATTAAAGAGAGAGGGTGAAGCTTAGCAAAGCTTAGGAATATGATTGAAAGCTTAGAAAAGCTAGAGAGAATTGAGTAAAGCTTAGCAAAGCTTAAAATAACGAGGTTATGTTAGTAAACAAGCCGCAGCAAGTGTTGTAGTGTCGTAATATTGTAATATTGAGGTAGTGTCGTTGTAACGTATTTTGTTTCGTATGAATAGTAATTTCGAGTTGTAAAATTATTGAGTGCCCACCAACGCTTCCAACAAAAAATAGTAGGTGCTTAGGGAAATGATGGGTGATGATAGTAGAGAGAAGTGAAGGGGTCCATCCTCTCTTCCTGTTAATATCAAAAGATTCAAAAACAGTGCTGACGATGAGTTCCAATATATATATCGATTCCAATCCTTTACACCACCACTGATTTTGTTTTCTGCCTTGTTTGATACCACCATTCATATGCTTGTCTCCATAACAATGGAGGAATCTGCTCAAGAAAGCATATTCCCTCCTCTTCTGCTGGACCGATAGAATAATGCTATATATATCTATAACATTTACAGCCTGTAAATAGTCTGTTCAATATTATTCCATTTATCATGTCAAATTTATCCTATTCTGATTCTTTTTTATATATATAACGGGATATATTTATGTTAAAATGGACGATTGAGATTAAAATAGACAACTGAGATTAACAGTAAAAATGAGAAGTTATTTATTGAAAAAAAATAAGATAATCTTAACTGTTTATTTTCACTCATTCAACGATCCTACAAAATATGAAATTAAAAATTATACATTAAATGTAAGTGAATCTTAATACACGTGCATATATATATATACATGAGAATGTTGTTTATAAACATAGAAAATATTTAAATACACTCAATGTTAGATATTTATTTATATGCAACACTTATGTCGAATCTATTAAACAAAAATGGAAAACGAAGAATAAGTCATATTCATAGATCTATGGCACTATGAAATCATTAATTGTCATGGAGATTCTTGGAAGTTTTTCACGAGAACATATTTTATTGTCATGTTTGAGGTCAATGGTGTAAGATTTTATATCAGGTACGTAACTTTATATTAATAAAAATATAAATAAAATAATTAAATTATATGAAAATTTAAAAATTTCAAGACAATGTGGACATTGGTTCCCCGGGTCCAACCCTGTGTGAGGTGAAGTTTTATACCAAGGTAATAAAAAGACATGGAATGTGATACCTTTCTTTATCTGAGATAAAAGTGGCAGAACCAAAGGTAGCATACCTTTTCACTTGTCCAAAGATAAATTTAACCTTTATCACGCATTTTGAGACATGTCCCATATCAGAGGGAGTGAACCATTAAATGAACCATTAAATTAAAGATGCCTTGCATATAAAGTTGACTTTATTAATTTAAGAATAGAAAAACATATTACAAGCTATTGTAATTGAAAGCTACACGTACAAGGATCATAGAAAGCTACAAGTACACATTGCAGCTCCTCAAAGTGAGCACTGTAGAATTTTGATTACTTTGACCCAATTTTATTCATATTTTTTCAGTGTGCTTAAATTGAAATAGACTTATAGGGCCTGAGCAAAGGTATCAGCTCTCCACTTAGATGGAGGGACATGACTTCATTGGTGGAACCCACCAGTTTTCCACCAATGAAGACGGCCGGAACCGGAGCCTTACACCCCAGCCTCATGACTGCCCTCTCCATTTCCCTGCCTTCTGGGTCTTGATCGAGCTCGTGAACCGTCGGGGTTGCCCCGATCTCTTGGAATAGAATCTTGAGCGCATAACACAGGCAACATGAACTCTTGCTGAATAGCACTAACCCATTCTCCGAGACCAACCTCATCACCTTGTCCATGTTGAGTTAATTTGCTTAAAGAAAATGTTTCTAGCTGAAGTCCCCTGGTTACCTGACGATTTTCAGTTATCGATTCCGGAGTGCGGTGGATCCAATGGTGGTGGGAGGAGAAGGCGGTGTGGGGGGTGAGAGAAAAGGGTTCAAACCATGAGTTTGCTGGAAATTTAAGCTCCCTTGCTAGAGTATTTATAGGGACAGCAAAGAGTAGACTCTTTATTTTCAAAAAAAAAAACGTGTTTTACCTGGATGCTAAAACCCTAAAACCAATAAAGTTACTTTTGGCTAAGTATTTTATTTCCATGGGGCTCAAACATTGCAAACACTTTTGGGTAAATATTTTTATTTAGACCTTCAAAAAATTTTAACATTAATGTCCCGAAGTTTTTGAGAATTTCATTAGAACCTCAACATTTTTTTAAAAAAAATATCATTAAACCATATGATTTTTTTTTGAAAATTTTAATTAAACTTTTAAAAAATTTAATTACTCTAAAATTATTTTGTCAAGATTGACCATAGAGTATATTGTAAAACGTTATTTAAAATTTTAAGATAGATATGAAATAAATTTAAAAACATAACATATTCAAATATATATGAATAAAAATTCATTCGAGTCGGACCAATAAAAAAAACAATCCCAACACTTTCTAATTATTTCCTAATACTTTGTAATGATTTAAACCAGATTCTCACAATCATTTCCTTTTTGAATCCCCTTGCGCAGAAAGAGATCGCGAATGTGATGGCCTTTCGGTGCTTCTTTCTTTCTATTTTGCATCCACCAACTTGCATGATTCTTCCCAAATGCATTTAAGCTCACTTTCATGCATGATATATAGCCATGATCACATGTGCGAGTGAGCCTCGAGCTCACGTGGGCAATGACAACAACTCTTCCTTCGTCGGTCTGGGACAGGGTTCTCCATTCTCATTGCTAACTCTTACTGCAAAAGAATATAAGTAATCGGTGGCAAATTCAACGAGATAATGCTCTCAAATTCTTTATTTCACGAAATAAGGCAGTCCCCAGATTAATTGTTCAAATGGGGTGATTTCCACAGTGTTGCCGTAGGTCGCCAGGCGATCTGGGCGACCTTGGAGGTCGCCATGGCATCCGGACGAGCTTCGAGTCCCACATGGCTGTGCACGGCAGCATGTCAACGTGGCAATGGTATCCCAGCGACATGGTAGGTCGCCATGCACGCCAGGCGACATGGTAGGTCGCCGAAGCTATGGCATGAGGGAGCAACTATGTAACATCCTATATACCGGGTCAGTGATTAAATTGTGAAATTTTAAAAGTTATTGATCAAAGTAGATAAATTGAAAGTTGAAGGAATTGATTGAAATATTTGGTGTAGGATCAATCGAGGGAAAGACAAAAAATCTAGGTGAGTGCATATGCATAACATGATTATGTTAATATATTCAGTTCTAGACTTGCGATAAGTCTAGATTTAATATCTTGATACATTATTCATTCAATATTATTAAAGATGATATGAATTCATACCATATGCATTATGGGATATACTATGCAGATTGTGGTAAGTCTATTTTCCAGATTAGAGCTTATATATGAATGTATGTGTCATATGGGATTGAATGAGTTACGAGATATCTATATTAGGTATATGAAGTGTGTGTGATGTGTTTTTTATGGTTTATATGTATGAATGAGCATATGTATTGACATATTACAGTATATATATATATTATATGAGTTGTGTAAATAGGTAGATAAATGTGTTAAATATGTGAAATAGTTAAAATGATCAATATGATTTCATAAGAATATGAAATAAGAAGTATGTAAAGGACATAAGAAAGAATATGAAATATATAACATATGAATATGAAATCATATGAGGGGTGACATGAATTATATGAAAAATAAACTACGTGATTACAAATATATGAAAATATGCTAGTGTGATGGGACCTAGGAACTAGTATACGTGATATATATACATTTATATAAGTTATTGGATGAAAAATGAACAAGAGATAAAAGAGATGAAGGATAATACTATAGGAGTATGATAAAAACATAAATGATGACATGTATGTATGTCTGTATGTATGTAATGGTTATATGAAAAGGTATAGGTGATAAGATGATCATATGAACATGTGATAAAGAGCTATAGGAAAAGAAAAAATGTGATATGATGTGTGAATATGTAATAAGGTAAAAGACAATCCCCATGATATGAGTTATGAGAACTGTAGGTATAGTTGGCATGCCAAGAGTCAAAGAACTACCTATGTCTTTCGAGACATATGGACAGTATACCTATGTTCTAAGGAACATATGGATAGTTTACCTAGGTTCTTCGGGACCTATGGATAGTTACCGAGGATCTTTATGACCTCTGGATAGTTACCGAGGATCTTTATGACCTCTGGATAGGTCCTTCGGAACATTCATTGAGCTGTGGTGACAGCATACGTGTGCACAACCTCATAATACTCGTATACCTTGGGTTCTCAATGGTGTATATGGGCTTAAATAGGACATAACGAGGATGTATATAATTGTATCTTAATATGGTATTATTATGATTTATATTGTCTCATATGTGGTATAATAAATGATGGTGTGATAGTATAATTGCGGTTGAATAGTAGATGACATGTTTATATTTTTAGTAATGATTTATTATGTAATTATGCCTCACTAAGTCTATGACTTAGCGTGTAAGTGGTTTTACACGTAGGTTTCGAAGAGCAGGAGAATCAAGAATAGGAATTTGCAGATCAACATATCTCCACTCAGCGATCAGATCAGAAGGAAAGTCATAGTAGGTATTTTGTTGTATGTAGTGTGTTGGCATGTAAGAAAAATGTTAATTACAAATGCTCTGATTAGTTTTGTCTTGTTTTGGTTAACTCGTGTACAATGACAATGTTATTTTAATAAAAGCTTTAAATTTCATTGGTTTTCGTTAAAAGTTTAAAGTTTGAAAAGTCAATGTGACACCTCAGACTTGTATCCGAGTCGGATACGGGTTGAGGGTGTTACAAGCTATGGCTCGAAGCTAAGGCACGAAGCTAGGACACTTTGCAGCTCAAATCATGCTGCAATAATGCAGCTATTTCAGCTGCATGCATGAGGTCTCCTGAGCAGATGTAAGAGGAATCACGCGAGGAGCAAGAGGAATAGGTTCTCCTGAGCAGCTGCAAGTGGAATCACACGCGAGGAGAGGATTGTATGGCGACCTATCCCATGCCACGTGCATGGCCCATGCAAAGCACCAAAGCAGGCATGGTTGCTGGGCGTGCATGGTGACCTACCATGTCGCCTGGCGTGCATGGCGGCCTACCATGTCGCCTGGCGTGCATGGCGACCTACCATGTCGTTGGGATGCCCTGGCGACCTACGGCAACACTATAGAAATCACCTCATTTGAGCAATTAATCTGGGGACTGCATTATTTCGTGAAATAAAGAATTTGATAGCATTATCTCGTTGAATTTTCCGTAATCGGCTTTAATAGTAATGATTCTTCATTACCAGAAACAACAGTCAAACGCATTTCTGCTTCGTTGAAACTTTATTCCCTTCTATTCTATTCTCGAGTGAGATCGATCATAAGTTTTATTTAAGGCCATAAATTTATGTTTGTTTCCGATAGGAAAGAATCCTACAAAGTCAAATGCTTCATCACGTATCGTCAGTCTTTGTTTACTTCCATGGAAATTGAATAAGCATGCACCAGTTAATATTAAAATGAAATATTAGTTTTTTTTAATCAGTAGGTTTAGGTTATTCTCAATAAGTTCATGTTATTTCATACAGTATATTGAAGGAACTCAGGAAACAAAAAGAAGAAGCAAAGCAAATGGAGTTAGCAATGAAGTTGTTTCCTTTTCTTTCTTTTTTTACATGGTTATTGCTAGAACCAGATGACCTTTGCATCTATGAGCATTTGTTTGAGTGATCCATCTACATGAAGTAATATGACATCTTTAGCTGAGCCAACGAATCTTCCACCGATGAACACGGCTGGGACCGAGGGATCGCACCCAAGCCCTCGTAGAGCCCGCTCCATGTCTCGTCCATTAGGATCATGGTCGAGCTCATGAATCGCTGGGCTAGCACCTAGCTCGTAAAATAGTGTTTTGATGCTATAACACATGTAACATGAGCTCTTTGTGAATATCACAGCTGCCTTCTTCGATGCCAAATCTCTTACTTTGTCCATTACTTCAAGCTGAATATTAAGAAAGATGAAACAAGTGAGCAGGCTTAGGGTTTTGGTGGAACTTATGTGTGCGCGCTGAGGCTTAGCTCTGGTGGAGTTTGAGATTGCATCATCTCTTATTTATAATAAATCATATCTGATTGTATCATAGTAGTCTAGTGGGTCCTGCAAATGTGAAGTTGATTATTATTATATTATTATTATAGTATGGAAAATTGAGAACCACAATTTTCCTGATTTGTTCAATTATAACATCCAGATTGATTCCTTTTGATGCTGAGCAGAGATACTCTCGCTTGCAACTCGCTTGCAACGTGATGGCTTGGTCTCTAGGCGTGACAAGTCTGCGACTCATTTTCAAGAAGAAACACAACCACTAAGAAGAAATACAAACAACTCTGATGTGGAACCGTTTGTTGTTTGAAGGAAATAGAAAGAAGATTCAAAAGAAAAACAATCGGTAATGGTGGGTGTTTATCTTCCGGTGACTTGGATGTGTTTAGAAGATCTACGTGGTGGGAAGGTCGGGTTGGCAGCGAGGAACAACATAGCTCGTCTTGATTCCATTAGACGGTCATCGGAGGTAAACTAATGAGCTTTATTTCGAGAAAATTGATTGATTTTTGTTATATATACAATCGTTCATCGTCAGTCTTTATGAAAGAAGGTCGGATCTGTGACGAGGAGAGCGAGCCGAGTTTGATGATGTACTTTGGGTCACGAACGGCGATCGATGGCGTTAAGCGGGTGGTGGTCACCGGTATTTTGTTATTCAGTCGGCCATTTTCAAAGCACTGGATGAAGAGTGCTTAAGAAAAAAAATGCTACCTGAATTATAATTAGGGTAAGGATCACGTGGGTGGAAGATAATGAAAGAGAAAATGGGCAAACCACAATTTCAGTCATCCATTTTTGGTAAAG